GCTGTACTATGCTATACAATAGGTCCCGGCTGTATTTCTCTGTGTTTTTGCTACTAAATCTCCGAAACAAGCCTTTGTTTAATATGTTGAATAAATTATTCTGTTTGTAGACAACTTTTGCTGTGGAGTATGAGATGGATCAGAATGAGGCTCGCATAAAGACAGATGTGAGTACAAACGCGTATTGTTAAATGGCCTAATATGACAAGGAGAAGCTCTTGTGTACAGTATGTGTTACGGTATGAACTGTATCTCTGATGGTTTTGTGTATGCACAGACCGCTATCGGTGTGATGGCTGGTGTGGCCCTTATCTACTCTCTGCTGAAGACAGTTAGCTGGAAGAGGAGGATCGCCTCTCCGCTCATTGATGCAGAGGTACTGCATCTTTGAAAAGTCATAACTCTTTTAATCCCATCCCACACTCTTCCATGCCCAGGAATATCAGAACTGGGGCAGGCATGGGAACTGTATTTCCACTTACTGTATCATATTTCTCAATTTATTTAATTGTGTTTCTGTTTCAACGCTTTGTGTGCAGTACAGCTGTTATGTTTTGGTTTGTAGTGTATTTTCTGTTCTATATTCAAACAAGAAAAGGTCATCACAAATACATGTCCTTGTCAATCCACACTTTAGTGTAAAGCTTGGTAAGGTAAGGTACTTTTATTTATATAGCACATTTCAGACGCAGAGGCAATTCAAAGTGCTTTACATGATCATTAACACATAATAGTAAGACAACAGAGAGGAACACAATAAATAAACATAATGGAATAACAGATTCATAAAAACAATGCATTAATGAGATACAAAATAGTTTAAAAACGACATTGTAAATACGGTAGGTGCTAAAACAAGTTAAAAGGCTTGTGGGTAAGCAGCTCTAAAAAGTAGTGTTTTTAGCCTCGACTTAAAAGAACTCAGCGTTGGTGGTAATGTATGCCTCTCCCTCCTTCTCCCTCAGACTCTGCTTAAGTTTTTGATTTTTTATGCCGGAGATCTGGCCAATGTTTTCTTTGCCGTCACCGTGGGGACCGGACTTTACTGGCTCATCTTTTACAAGGTTAGTATAAGTCCTTAGGGGCTTTCTTTTATAGGATTGATACTTTCTTTTGTTGAGTTTATACAAGTATCTTAATTCTTCTCTGAGACACGTGGGTCACAGGTGACTTTGTTGTAATTAGGTACTTGAACTGCGCATGCGTGCGATGGACATATCCAGTGCTAAAGCACCGCCTCTGGCGGTCAGTAGGGACGAAATAGAACTCCAAGTGGCGATGAGCTCTTAAAATGTATGGAAAGGGTCTTAATAAAGGTCTTAAAAGGTATTACACTTGACTTCAGGATTCCTGCATATACCCTGGATTCATTTGTCTCCGTGTTTGTGTTTAGGCTCAACAGTTTGTATCAGTGCTCTTACCACTACCTGCTCAGGAGGAACAGTTTGTGACCTATGTTGGTTGTGCCTTTGCTCTCAAGGTTAGTCACTTACTAAACATATGTCAACTTGTGTCTTTTTGAAAGCTAGATGGTGTGCCTCTGTAAGGAAATAAAAAATATTGTTTTGTGTATTTATATCCAGGCTGTCCAGTTTCTCCACAAGCTGTTCATGCAGGTGTCCATTGATGTTTTCTTTATTGACTGGGAGAGGCCACGATGCAAAGCTAACAGAACTGTTCAAGGTACGAACAAATTGAGATTATATCTTAAAGTCTTAACAAGAAATCATATTTTATTATTTATTTTATTCCATTCAACATATTCTCTGTTGTTTCAGCTGCTGGTGAGCCGAAACGTGACCCCTCTCCTGTCAGCATCTGGAGGACCTACTTTGTGGCCAATGAATGGAACGAGATCCAGACCATCCGCAAGATCAGCCCCACTTTTCAGATCATGGCCGTGCTCTTCTTTCTTGAAGTACATCTTTCAACAACACATCCAATCAGTTCTTTCAGTTTTTGTTATTTAACGGTTCCTCATTGATCACATTGCTAACATATGTTGTAATGTTCAGGTGCTAGGGTTCTCCAACCTCGCCCTGAGGGACCCCTGGCCAATTTTACAGCGCTCCTCTCAGGAGTACACCCCCTCATACAGCATCATGCTGCGCTACGGTCTGTCATCCACACTGTGGCTCTGCATCGGATTTCTGCAGGTAAAACGTCCACCAGTCATTCTCCTCTCTTTGCTGTCACCTGCCCTTTGATTTCTCACCTCTGCTTGTCTTTCTTAAGAATTGAGGGGAGTACTGTAAACCAGAGATGGGGGACTCGAGTCGCATACTTTTGTACTTGAGACTTGATTGACTAACATTGATAAAAGACTCAACTTGACTTTGACTTGGTATTCATGACTTGAGACTTGACTTGAGACAGATGACTCTAAATAAATATTTGCATTTGTTTTTGTATTGTACGGAGGGCAATGAAAAACAACGGTTACCAGTGCGCCATGGAGGAAGTGGAGCACACAGGAGACAACCGTTTCATTGTAGACTGTTATGTTTATGTGGGGAAATGACAGTGCATACATTATTTGAGATATATTTAGAACTGGATTTCATTTTAGGGACATTTCGGCTAGGGGTGTAAAGCTATTTGTTTAAGCACCGGATCGGCAAAACACGTGAGTGTGTAAACCAGTCTGCCTTGATCTCTCACAGTATCCGGAAATAAATGCGGAAACTGGAGTTATTCATCATAATTTCGTATGACTTGACCTGAGCATGACTTGACTTGACTTGACTCTCACCACAGTGAACACTTGGGAATTGCTTGAGACTTGTAAATGTATGACTTACTCCCACCTCTGCTGTAAACAGTAACATTTTGGAAAGCTCCATTAAAAGAAAATTATTTATCCCCACAGGTTATTTTCTTCACTGTGTTTCATGAGCACTTTATAGAGGACAAAATCCGTCAGTTTGTTGATCTCTGCTCCATCAGTAATGTAAGTATCAATGTTTATACAACATTTTAAACAATTTATATGTCCTGAATTGTTTTATTAAGTGTAAATCATATTTGTCCGTGTTTTCTAATTAGATTTCCGTGTTGCTGCTATCTCACCGTTGTTTTGGCTACTACATTCACGGGCGATCAGTACATGGGCATGCAGACACAAACATGGAGGAAATGAACAACAATTTGAATAGAGAATCTGTATGTACTCCAACAGATTACATGATGTGTTAGAAGCTCTAGCATATTTATGACATTGTTGATTTCACATTTAATCCATTCTCTTTCTTCCTTTTCTGACTAAAGGAGTCCTTGTGTGGTCAGAGAGGTTTACTGCCCAACTCAGACACCCAGACCTTTCAGGTGTCTCTCACCAACCGCCTGCGACTGCAGTATGACAGGATACGGGAGCAGATCGGCAGGGTGTGTGCTTTCGCTGTTGTGTTGATCTGAACAAAGAAAAAAACGAGCTTCCTGGTTTCCGATTTTAATGGTTGCTTGACTCCTGTGCTGCAGAGGAACGGGCCATCGCGGCTGATGGACACATCCTCAGCTAACCAGTTTGAGCAGAGGGCCCGAGGATACCAGACCATGAACCACTTCCTGGGATCCGTTATAGACCATGTCAGTAGAAACGCACGCTCGTTAATTCACACAAGCACATTGAACCCAGCATAGTTTGATTGTATAATTGATTTGTTACATTGTAAAGTAAACGAGTTGTTTACATAAATTGAAATGGCGAGATTGTTCTGTTTCTAACATTGAGTTATTTCCCTCAGGCACATCCTGACATGGACTATATAGTGAGAGACAAGCTGATGTTTGAGAGGGTCATAGGGATGGAGTTCCTCGAACCAAGTGAAAAAAGCATCTTTTACAATGGTAATGACCTCAGCCCAGGTATGCTGTACATTTCTGCTTGTTTATAAGCGCATTTATGTGTATTTAAGGTCTGTTTGATTTTCTCCCCGCAGATGAGGCCCACACTTTCAGTGACGTACTATTTTATGGAAATGAGGCTACGCTGCTCATTTTCGACACTTTGTTTTTCTGTGTTGTTGATCTCGCGTCTCAGAGCTTTGTGCTTGCAGCTGTGCTTACATGCGTACAGCAAATAGTAAGTATTAGGGGTATATTGATTATGATACCTTCAATGCGTTTAAATGAACATATATTCAACAGCATTTAATCATTTACAGATATTTTGCTTGATCCGTAACACTCTGGGAAGGAAGAACCTCGTCAACAAGACTCTGGTGGATGAGAGATTTTTGATATGAAATGACCAGCTAAGTGATTGGTAGTGTCAGTGTTGTTTAGTGGCATTCCTCTCGACGATGTTTACTGTTCACAGCTTGTGCAGCTCTTTTTTTGTACTTTTCTTTGAATATACTGTATTTTCACTGCTGCTTCTTGATGTAAATATCATAGTTTTTTGTAAAAATGTCAATGTTTTTATTGATGAAGGGGTTTTGATACGAAGATCGTCTTGTTTTAAGATAATTGTATTAAAATAGATTTTTCATATTTTCTATGTCATCAACGTTACTTGTCTTTACAGCCGGCCCGGCTAAAATGATTGTTCGTGCTTTTTACAGCGCCATGGCTTCCACAGATGACATTTTTTTATGGATTTTTTGTCAAATGTATTGCTATCGGGATGTTAAGAGCATTCCATGCAATATAACAAAAAGTGTATCTCGAGCTGGTTTCTCAAACGTACCTACCCCACCTTTAAAGGAAACAATGTACCTCTGTCATGTATTGAGCAAACAAATTGAAATACTAAAGTACATGTATCTCAAAATTGTATTTGTGTAAATCTGCTTAGTTTCATTGTATATTATTGGTGTTCACATGTATAATACCCTATTAGGGGGGAAAAGGTAGTTGCTATTACACAACGCATTATTTATTACCAATGTTATCTTCTTGTTAATAATACATAATGAGTTGTGTAAAAGCCAGGCCCTGATTTTAAAAGGCTCTGCTCGTGCGTGAGGGGCATAGACTGTATAAAGCGGGGCTGCCGTGACGTCAGTACGGCTGTCAGCGCTCAGCCAATCAGCGTTCAGTTCCCAGTGTGGCGCTCCTGAATGATACAGACCGGAGGGGTCGTGTGTTAAGTCATGAACTTCACTAACTTCTTCACAGCCATCGTTTAAGGTCAGTCTGAATGTTGCTCTGAACTCTTCAACCTTTACGTATAGAGAGCTTTGAGCTGTTCCCTTTGTGTCTTGTGTGAACAGACATTATGCAGTTGGAACTTGGTGGGTGTAACCGTAACCCACTAGCTAACCTAACCATTAGCATGAATTTGGCTGCTGTCCCTTGTTTACTGACGCACATCGCTTCTATTGGAGAGTTTACCTTTACATTACCTGTTAATGCCAGATAGGTGGCTTCATTCTGCTCTGAGATGAATGCTCTATGTTGCAAGATAAGCTAACTGCTCTCATATTAGCTTGTGGTTTTGTTGACTTGCTACTACAGTAGCTTCGAGAGGCTAGTGATGACAACTTTCTTGCAGAGCTCGGAGCTGGGACGGGCCCACTGTGGTTTTGGTGACTCATACATAGTTTGAGTTTTGGATGATGTTGGGCTGCTAAGCTCAGTCAAACAGAGAGGGTTCACCCTGGGTCGTTTGCAGAGTTTTGCTCTAAAACGTTTGAGAGTCACTTGAGCTTTGATCACCTGTGCAGCTGTATCCAGAAAGGAACTAAAATGAGCTCTGAGCAGCTGCAGATATACTTAAAGTATGTAATGGATTATAGATACGCACTCAGGATCCTGTTCAGTTCATGACGAGACAGAACATTTCTCAGGAGGCAAATGTCAGGGCTGAGATTCTTGCCAAAGTTATTTTTAGCCCTGCTGACCTAACGTTAGGTGAAAGGGGCAGAGTTGGTTGCAACTCAAGTCAGTACAAGCTAGAGTGGTCTGCTAATGCACATGTTCCTGCAACATAACGAAAACAAGGCTCAACTGTAACCTGAGTATGGCACGACAACAAATAACAAAGCTAGAACAATTTACCCTTGGTTTTGTATTTCCACATTGAATGCTTGCTGAGATAGCAGGATATTCTATTAGGGTGTGCACTGCATGCAAGAAATAAGATGAATAATTGGATGGAGTTTTATTAGAGAAAAGTTTCCCTTTACATCTAGTTAAAGGTACCAGTTTATTAGGTACACCTAGCTAAATGCAGTCTAATAAAACACTTGTGTAATAAATCAATCTTTATGATTGTTTTAGTCAAACTGTACAGGTGTTTATTCAACTATTTGTTCATTTTGAAGATCATAACGTTGAACCTCTAAAACTTAACATTACTGCCTAAGAGGTAGGGCTTATTGCAGGATTATTATATTAGATTGCATTAGATTTGCTAGATTAACCAAATATAAAAATATGTGAGTATTTGTATTATATTGTTGATCTGTATCTAAATACAGAACAATATGCAGCAGAAACAGGGCATGTAAACGTCCTTTACCATTAAACTATTGTTGCCACTATGACTATAACAATCTTCAACACTGATTTCAACCATTCCAGTTTCTCACCACTCCCATCTGTGGTCTGAAAGTTCACTTCAAGACTGACCTGACATTTCAAAATTGTTCAATTTGTTATCCCCTTGCTGCCGCTGACATAAACACAAATATGTACTTGTAAACTTGTGAGCTGGCTGCATTTCACCACATGGGAACGGCATTACGTTTAGTCTAATGTCCGGCTCAGTAACCATCCAGGGTGTTCCCCAGGACAACGGCAGTTTATCAACAACCGGTTTAATCCATTGAACCAATGGAATGTGAATCGCTCACATGTGAATAGTGGTTGTTAGGGATGGAGTTTTAATCCCAAAGATTGGATATGATTGAGACATTGATACTTAAATCTTAAAACGTGTACTGGGTTGGTGTTGTTATTTACCAAAACAAATCCTAACCTACATAAGGTTGTTTTGAAGGTATTTAAGGTCCTTCTACAAACTGTCCCAACTTGTAATTTAACCTCATAATCTCTTTCTGTTTTTCAATGTTTGCCTAATGGTTCACAGAGAGACCACTTTGTTCTGTGCAGGTGAACGCCTCCTGATAAAAGTACATACAGCTGTTGCTGTCAGAGCTCTGTGTGCACAGTGTGTATTTTCAACAGGTCGTACGATACGTTTTTCTCTCTGTGCCTGCAGAGCTGCTTCAGCCATGCCTGTGACGTCTCAGCTGCTCAGGGGTTTGCCTCGTGCCAAGCTCTTGGCCTCCGGTCTGCTACCATGCCAACAACACCAGTCCCAGCTAGGACCTATTACTAACCGACCACCCTCAAGATGGCCCTTTCATGTATCGCAGAGCCATCAGCACTCGAGAAGTTACCAGACAACCTCAGAGCTCCGTAGCTACATCCTCACACCGCCGCAGGTCAACTCCATCCTGAAAGCCAACGAGTACAGCTTCAAGGTTTGTGGTGATTCACGCAAACATAAAGCACATAGGCCTTCTCTCTATGTTTACATTTTCATCTTACCATTTGATATGATGATTCCAGGTGCCAGAGTTCGATGGGAAGAATGTATCATCGGTGATGGGCTTTGAGAGTAATCAGCTGCCGGCCAACGCTCCTATAGAAGACCGCCGAAGTGCAGCCACCTGCCTGCAGACGAGAGGAATGCTGCTGGGTGTGTTCGACGGCCATGCTGGCTGTGCCTGTGCACAGGTAACGCTGACTGTTACATGTACTGTTCTTGAGAGGCATTTTTTAAAACTCAAAACATCATTATACATCTCCAGTGATGAGCCCTTGACCTCATACCCTCTCCCTATTAATAACACAGGATTGCTGTATCTTCCAAATGTAACAGAGACGGATGTTTCTTTAATTCTAAAGGGACTGTCTTGTTGAGTCAAATATCTTTAACTAACTTGCAAACATTAATGATTTAGTTTGTGGCATGCACAGAAGCATCTGAGGAAATTAAGTTTGTAACCTGGCTGGTTGGAGGTTAAGAGCTTACTACTTTTTACAGACACTAGGAAACATACCAAGTAATATTTAAGAAATTGAGATGTTAGACCTGACACACAACAAGACAACTACATTTTTGGTTTTTCTTAGTTATTTCTCTACACCCTGATGCATCAACATTATATGTCCTCTTCTCTGCCAGGCGCTGAGTGAGAGGTTGTTTTACTACATCGCGGTGTCTCTGCTGCCCCATGACACCCTGTGTGAGCTGGAAGCAGCGGTGGAGGCCGGCAGGGCCCTCAGTCCTATCCTGCAGTGGCACAAACACCCCAACGACTACTTCAGCAAGGAGGCTCAGACTCTCTACTTCAACAGCCTCCGAACATACTGGCAGGAGCTAATAGATCTGACCTGGTGAGAATCAAAGGATACACAACAAAGTCTGAAACAACAACACTGAGGCAACAACACTGAGGCACACATGCAGGCTCCTTCATTAACTTCAGTAAGACCGGTATGTTATCACAACTGCACTTAAAGCACTGCCAACAAACAGGGCACTGTCTGCAGGAGATGATTCTTAGGCTGTGCAAATACTTGGTTTAGAAATGTGTAATTTAAGAAGTCTGGTTAGTTGGCTTTGTCGACAATTCGGCCTCTACTTCCTGGTTTCCTATTTCATCTTCATCTGTACCTTATAGAAACACGCCCACTAGGGCTGAACGATATACCGTGTCATGGCGATAACCGCGATATGCGCATGCGCGATATTCACACCGCAGGGACGTGCGGTTTTATTAATTTTTTAAAACGCACTTTAGCACAGAATTCAAAATAAAGATACCCTTATTACTTATCGAAACTGCACATACAATATATCCGATTAAAGCTGAGACTCCACAGATTATTCAAGTATAGTATCTAAGCTATCCGATCTCGCAACAGGGGAAGCAAACACAGACATCACAACACGTACCTTTTACGGAGCTTTTACGGGAGATCGTCTCACCGTAGCTGTCAATCTGATCAAAAGACGTGTTCAATGGCATTAAAACGAGAAAAAACGCAGCTGAATCGGTTGATCCATAGGTTGATAATGTATCTGTGGCTTTGAAGCAATTATTTATAATCCATAATTAAATTTGTATGTAAAAATCGGAGCACAAAAGTTAGCTGCTAATGGTAGCCACCAGAGTGTATGCAGCTTCCGGTTTTGGCTACGCGTCACTGTCACTCCTTATTTGGTAATGTGTGTGTGTTAGACTCATGGTTAGACTGCGCTGGACTGCCGCATAGCCAAGACCGGAAGCAGCAGCCACTCTGGTAGCTACCATTAGCTAACTTTTGCTCTGCGATTTTTACATAATATATGGATTATAAATGAAATAATTTTTTTATACAGAGACGTTAAAAACCTATGGATTAACCGATCCAGCCGCGTTTTTCTCGTTTTAATGCCATTGAACACGTCTTTTGATCAGATTGACAGCTACGGTGAGACATCTCCCCTAGAAGCTACGTAAAGGTACGTGTTGTGATGTCTGTGTTTGCTTCCCCTGTCCGAGTTCGGATCACTCAGTGATGATACTATATACCTAAATAATCTGTGGAACCTCAGCTTTAATCGGATATCTTATATGTGCAGCTACGATAAGTAATAAGGGTACTTTTATCTTGAGTTCTGTGCCAAAGTGCGTTAGCATTTTTCGCTCAGGGGTCATTTAGATGCTTTTTATGAGACTTGTGTTTTGTTTTGGTAAAAATGGTTTGTATCGTCAGTTAGCTGAGATTATTTCCGTTAATCTGGTATAACACATTAATAGGTTCTTAAAAATTAAGATCCCCTGAGACACAGTGTCGTGAAAAAAAAAAGTAAAGTACCCGCCGGGACTTTGGGGCTTAACAGGTTAAAAAAAACGCAATATAAATCGCGATGTCAGTTTTTTTCAATATCGTGCAGCCCTAACGCCCACACCAACACTGGCCTGTTATTTTGCCAATAGTGCCGTTATCTGTTCTCGACCTTTCTTTCTGTGTGGTTAAAACATATTACTCTCTTTTTTTTAGCCCGGGCGACGTTCCAGATACACACGAGGCGTTGCTGAACGCCTTCAAGAGGCTGGACAACGACATTTCCCTGGAGGCTCAGGTAGAAACTCTCAGCTGTCTTAAAGTGAAACGCAGGGGTGTCAAACTCAAAGCCCGCGGGCCAAATCCGACCCGGCCCGCAAGAGCTTGCATTATAAATGAATATAATACGTTTATTATACAGTTACATGCCGCTTGCAGAAGCACGTTGCCCATAAACTGCATGTCCCACAATGCATCTCATTTTGTGACAGGCGAAATGAAGACACTTGCAATTATGTAATATAATTAGGGCCGGGACTCGATTAAAAAAATTAATCTAATTAATTAGATGCTTTGTAATTAATTAATCGAAATTAATCGCATTTTTAATCACATATAAATATTTGACCTAAGAACAGTGAGAAGCAATTTTTTTCACATGGATTTTAGTATACCATTAGGCGCATTCACACCGCAGTACTTTTCCCACAAAGGTTCATGAGAATTTAGTTCATGAGAACTCTTTGAACCTGGGGGTGGATTAGGCAAATGAAGCCGCTGACGTCACTTCTTCTTCTTCTGCTTTGGGTTTACTGGCAGGCCGCAAACCACTTCACGGCGTATACTGCCGCCCAAAGTCCCCGGCCGGAAGTCCCCGGAGTTGGGGACTGGCTTCAGTAGAAGCTGCTGGGAGTCCCAGCAGCCTTCCGAGTAAATCGCCAGAACGCCGACACCTCCTCATCTCCACCGCTCCCATGTTTTATTTTGTGTTGCCATAAGTTAGTCTCTCTGCGTTTCTGCGCTGGGCTAATGCTAATAATGCTAATGCGAGGATAATAAAATGGCGGCTTCACCAAACTTTTTGGGAGTTTTACGGGGCGTGGTTTGCAATCCGCCCAGCCAATCAGAAATATAGCTCTTTTCTCACAAGAGAGCCGTACGAAAGTCCCTGCTCTCTAGTAGCTCTCTGCTCTCTAGCAGGGACTTTCGTGGGGGTAAAAAGGTTCTCATGAACTAATTTTAGTACCGGCTCTTTTTGGTGTGAACGCGATAAAAGAGGCTAACGTCCACGCTAGCTGCTATATGTTTTTGCATTGAGGTGATACTTGAGGCTTGATGTGCGGCGGTGGTATGCGAATTCCTTTTTGCATAATTTGCACACAACCGTGCTCTTATCGACGCTTCCATCCGTCCGTTTTTTAAAATAACATTTCCCACTGTTGTTCACTGTGGTTTGTTGTTGTCTGAAGTCATGAACGTTAGTTGGTGCTCCAGTATAATCGGTACGCCTGAAACTCATCCAGTGAGAAACGTTCCGCGGTGCAAAAATAAGTGCGATTAAAATGCGTTAATTTTTTTAACGCGTTAATTTTTGTGTAATTAATTAATCTTAATTAACGCGTTAAAGTCCCGGCCCTAAATATAATACATAATTTTTATATATTTATATCCATCCATCCATCCATCCATCCATCTTCTCCCACTTATCCGTGGTCGGGTCGTGGGGGTAGCAGTTCCTGCAGAGAGCCCCAAACTTTCCTTTCCCTGGCCACATCAACCAGCTCTGACTGGGGGATCCCAAGGCGCTCCCAGGCCAGCGAAAATATATAATCCCTCCACCTGGTCCTAGGTCTACCCCTTGGTCTCTTCCCAGCTGGACGTGCCTGGAACACCTCCCTAGGGAGGCGCCCAGGTGGCCTCCTAACTAGGTGCCCGAACCACCTCAACTAGATCCTTTCGACGCGAAGGAGGAGCGGTTCAACTCCGAGTCCCTCCCGGATGACCGAACTTCTCACCTTATCCCTAAGGGAGACACCAGCCACCCTGCGGAGAAAACCCATCTCGGCCGCTTGTATCCGCGATCTCGTTCTTTCGGTCATGACCCATCCTTCATGACCATAGGTGAGGGTAGGAACGAAAATGGCCCGGTAGACGGAGAGCTTTGCCTTCTGGCTCAGCTCCCTTTTCGTCACAACGGTGCGGTAAAGCGACTGCAGTACCGCTCCCGTTGCTCCGATTCTCCGGCCCATCTCACGCTCCATTGTTCCCTCACTCGAGAACAAGACCCCGAGATACTTGAACTCCTTCACTTGGGGTAAGGACTCATTCCCTACTTGGAGTGGACAGTCCATCGGTTTCCTGCTGAGAACCATGGTCTCAGATTTGGAGGTGCTGATCCTCATCCCAACCGCTTCACACTCGGTTGCAAACCGATCCAGTGAGTGCTGAAGGTCGCAGACCGATGAATATAATACGTTTATGGAGAAGTCTCCCCGGGAGACCAAATGTCGGACATATATATGTATATTTATATAGTCTTAAAGTTAAAACAGGCCCTTTGAGTGCAACCATAATGCTAATGTGGCCCGAGTTTGATACCCCTGTTCTAAAAAACAAAGTCATTCTTAGTTTTTGGTGATTTTACACAAATTAAAACATAATTTCCAAATATCTTATTCCATTCCCCTAAATACTTCACACTTTTAAGATGCATATTGAATATCACTGTTGCACCATGGCAGTAGTACAAATAAATTCTAGGCATCCAAATGTAAACTTTTATGGATTAAAGAGATTTAAACTATGTACCCTATCCTGTCTGCAGCCTCACAGTGTCTCTCTGCCCCGCAGGTTGGAGACCCCAACGCTTTCCTGAACTACTGGGTTCTGAGGGTTGCCTTTTCTGGAGCAACGGCCTGCGTGGCTCACATAGATGGATCAGACCTGTAAGGAGGACAAACACTTCCACATGTTCCTGTCAATGTGATTAGCTAAATATATGTTGTAACTAAGCTGATGTTTTTCCTTACTGTTTTTAAAGGTACATTGCCAACTCAGGAGACGCTCGGGCAGTGTTGGGGGTGCAGGAGGAGGACGGTTCGTTCACCGCTCACACACTCTCTAACGACCACAGCGCCCAGAATGAGGAAGAGGTGGCCCGGATACGAGCTGAACACCCCCCTTCAGAGAAGAAGACAGTTATACGACAGGTAATACCTCCACCAATGTGCTTTATGTGGTTGTTGTTGCAGCATTTATTAAAACCCCCCTTTCTGTCGGCCTCTTTATCAGGACCGGTTGCTCGGCCTGCTCATGCCGCTGCGTGCTTTTGGAGATGTGAAGTTCAAGTGGAGTATTGAGCTGCAGAAGTGTGTGTTGGAGTCCGGGCCCGATCAGCTCCATGAAAACGAGCACTGCAAGTTTATCCCTCCAAACTACCACACCCCCCCCTACCTGACCGCCGAGCCGGAGATCACGCACCACAAACTGCGGCCACAGGACCGCTTCATGGTGAGAGGAGACAAATCCGCCCTGTGTTTGTTTCAAAAAGTAATGGCAGTAACTTTTCCTAAAGGAGATTCCTACCCTTAAATTCAGGCTTTATTACTATTTGTTCAACTTTTTCCACACATTTTAAACGTAGATACCCCATTAAAAGGTGCTCCGAGTAGACGACTTTTCCACAAATTGTATAAAAGCATTCAAGGGAGACCTATTTGAATCGCTGGGTTAATCAAGATTATTCCTTTTCTGAACAACATTAATTTCTAGTCGCAGTATTAGTCAAATTGGATAATAAATATTCTGAAATAAAGCTCATTTACTGTTCTAACTCAAGGCATGACAACGTATGTGAGTAACTTAGCTTATCTGATGTTACAATCGTGTGTTTTCTGATTCCTCTTGTTTCTGTCCCTGCAGGTGATTGGCTCCGACGGTCTCTGGGAGACGCTCCACAGACAGGAAGTGGTTCGTATTGTGGGGGAGTATATAACAGGGGTTTCCCAGCGTCAGCCCCTCAAAGTGGGGGGCTACAAGGTCTCCCTGGGACAGATGCAGGAGCTGCTCGACGAGAGAAAGGCTCGCGAGTCTTCGGCTTTCGAGGATCAGAACTCAGCGACCCACCTGATACGCCACTCGGTGGGAAACAACGAATTTGGCACGGTTGACCACGAGAGACTGTCGAAAATGCTGTCGCTGCCCGAGGAGCTGGCTCGCATGTACCGCGATGACATCACCATTATCATCTCTCAGTTTAACCCTCATGTGATCGGAGCCCAGAGACAAGACGGGCAGTCCTGAGCTGTACCTCCACCGGTGTTTCACTGCAGATAACGCACATTTGTGTAACTGTGTACTTGTACACATAAGCCCACTGTGGACAAACAGGCCATAATGAGAACATATCTGTCCAGCAGAATTGTTTTAACTCTATTTAAGTAAATACCTTGTATATTTGTATGCAGTGCTACAGAAGATCTAGTTCCTCGTGAAGATCTTCGTTGGATGGAAGTCAATTATATGACGCTATTTATGCTGCCAACATCCTCTGGCAACCCTTGCATACACACCTCTCTGCGTGGCTGATAAGACACTGTTACAAACTGACTTTTGTGCCAAAAGACTTGACCTCCTCGTCTGCTGAAAGACTCGGGTTGAAATTGTAGATCTTCCAAAGAGCGTAAGGGTTGGGACTCGATGCAGCACTGACTCAACCTGATTCTCTGATATGGACTCAAACTGGGCTGTGCCACTGTAACACCAACACTCTTTCTCAGGTGTTATTTCCAACTCACTCACAATATGTATCTGTATCCCCTGTATCTGCTTAACATGCACGTGTTCTCTATTTAAACTCAAGTATTTGAAAGATTGACTCCAATGCCCTGGATTTCAAGTAGCTGCAAGATGTAGAGGTGAAGTCCGCCGTTCTGGGAAAATGTTATTGATATTTGATCTCCTCACCCAAACAAATGCACTCCCCTCAGTGCTGTTGGCATGTGCCAGATTTACATCCTTGACCTTTTCACGCCCCCTGTTCCTGATTGGCTGGATTAGTGTTGCTGTTGCTCTGAGCTACTTTGTTTGTTTCCCATTTACAAACCTGTGTATGGACCACAGATTCATTTTTCAGTGCGTACACAGAACTGAAAGCTAGCAGATCGTAATAAGATATCGACTGAATTTGACAAAAAGTGTCACTGACTCCAACTTTAAATTGCTGACGTTAAGCTTTAAAGTGCTCTCTTCCATATTGGCACTCTAGTGAACATCTTGTGGGGAAAAGATGGTTATAGGGAAGAGAAACAATGATTCAGATGCACACAATGTTATCAATTTAAATAGATACTGGATACCTCCTTTAATCTCTTCAAATGAAAAGCAAAGAATAATCAAAGAGACTTCATTTCAAAGTGTCACGAGCCAAAAAGGTTGGGCAACACTGAGCTATGTTTTCAATATGCTAAAGCACAGAGCAATAAAATAGTCCTACAAATATTGACCGACTACACACTTATGTACTGAAAGGAGGACATGCATGTGCACTACAGGTATATTGTCTGGATGGTGATTAGATGAATTACGGTTCATATATATACATATATAATACAACCCTAAGTTAAATGAGAGTTTTGTAGCTTTTTTCCCAAGCTTTATGGGTTAAAAGGCATGCTTGTTTAGGGTTCATCTTGCATTACATTATTTATTAAGCATTTTCAGTTTGGGTGACAGTTTGATTTATATATGACAGCTTTGTTGAAAGCAGAAGCACTCTCCTGACACTCTCCAGTTAAACACTAAGGACGGGGTCGAAGCGTTGTGTTCAAGTGTGTTTGAGCCCACAGGAAAGAGCAGAATGTACATTTGAAAGCAGCCGTTTGAATATCAGATTTCAAAAGATTTTACAGTACATGTATGTTACACATCTTTATTTACAGTTGTATGTATGAAATGTAACTTATGTGGATTATGTTTTGTATATGGAAATGCTTTAATAAAACATAATACACACCACTGGGTACAGCTGTTTTGTGTTTTGGTTGACACAGACTGGCTTGGTGGTGAACACACTGCCGCGCCCCTGAATGCAGCAGGACGTCCCGCTAACCGACAGCCACCTGAGGTCAGTGTCAGGCAGGCAGGTCTCAGGTTGCAAGTGTGCCGCTCTGCTCAGTTTACATCAGTGCATCTTATTATACTTTATTATAGGGCTTAGTCGAATACTCGATTCCGATTGGTCAATTTACATTTCGTAGATTGTGAATACTCTAACTCGATAACATGACCATTGCTAAGGAGGATCAAGGGAGTATGTGCAGTCATATCAATCGTTAGTTGTGAATGCTTCTTTTCACAACATCTTATATTTTCTAATGTGAAGTACTACTATACTAGGACTCTTTTGTGATTATTTGTTTTACATTCTTGACTGTAATATAAATGTTACTCCTAATGATATATAAACATGAATTCACAGAGTGCAACTTCCTTTTTAGAATAATGTACATAAATTCACATTTGCCATTGCAGCTCTCCTACCTCAAAGGCTGAGAGGTACAGATAAAGGTCGTTCTTCATACTGAATTGCTACCCCTGTATGGTGTCCTTCAACACATCGTGTTTTGTCTGTGGATAAAATACCTCATGTTCAGATTGTATTCTTCTGCCTCTGTCTGCTGGGAATTTAAAGTTGAAGGTTAACTTCACTCTGCTTGTGACAACATTGTCTGGGAAGCAAAAGACTGTATTCCAAAAGAGTCCACATTTTCTTTCTGGTAATACTTATATATATATATAATTTATTTTTACCCCACTAACATTCTCAATGCAGGATATTTAATTGTAATGAGGTACATTTACCATTGTATTTCCTCCACCACAAACACAGTGGTTTGATTTGTTATTTTCAGGAGACAGTCAGTGAACCACCACTAGATGCTGCTGCAGTATCAGACATGCCAAAGTGTCGAATAAGAGACAAGGTCATGGATTTATTTGAATATTTACATTATTGTGCATCAATTTATAATGTTAGTTTGACAAATACTTTTTTACAGCAAAATATCTTTATCACTAATACAACAACCAAAAGGACTCAAGGTTTTTGAAAACATAAAATAACTTTTTTAAGAACATTGATAATCTGTTATGAAAGAGTATGAAACTGCAAACTGGCTGATTTTATTGCATCTGTGTTACTGTGACAAAGAATCTCTTATATGATTCCTGATAGCGACACATTGTATGAAACATATTGTAGGACATTGCAGACTTTAAATAGTTTTGCAGTGGGATTGAGTCACAATAGTCCCTGAGAAAAGAAACGTGGGTTTGATCATCATCACGTCGTCAGAGTGTTTGATTTATAAGGGCCATGCGCTCAGTTTCTCAGAAATAAACATAATGTTTGATCAGATGTTATGCCTCATCCCCGGATGTTTTTCCAGGACTAGGTTATAGAAGTAGAATGAGTGACTTCACTTTAAGGAATTGTGTGCTGCCTTCTTTTCCGTTGGATTGAGGTGCACAACGTGTTATAAAAATCCTCCCACACAGCTGTCTCTTTTATTTACAATAATATAACCGAACTAATCACCCAATTCAGTTAAAGTAATCCACCACAAGGGGCAGCCAAAGTGTGTCAGGCCTCCAATGTGAAAATGAAAACTCACTGTTTAAAATGACGCATTCGTTTTTATACAGACAGAACTAGATAGAGTTTATTTATAAAGTCACACAAATACGTAAAGTAAGTAATATCCCTGTGATGGCCACAGCCACACAGGGTAAACCAACTACACTGCATCCTCATCTTCAGTAATTTTGCTTCAGTGCAGCTACAATAAAACATGCCAATTAACACCACACATTTGCTCTAGATGGTAAACTCTTTATTTGATTGTAATCTGACATTACTTCAAACATTTTAGCACAGCTAATACACAAGTATTTGTTTGTATTAATTACATTCTTTGTCTCTTGAGTTACCATGTCCATTGGGGGAGGTTACTTCCTGGTTCAGCAAAGGGCGTGGCCGAGCGCTGAGGGCTCATAAATACTGCAAGGAGCCAATTGGGACAGATTGGGACAAACCACCTGCTTCCATGTCAAAGGGGGGATTTGGGTTTTGTCAGTGTCCTTTGTGTATGGTGTGACTATTAATTATCACTTGGGTTCAACTTGGTTTGGCCAAGCCCCTATATAGGTTCCTTGGTTTTCATTGTAGGGGGGTCAGTTTTGTTGAGTTAACACCTGTTATGTGCCTTTGAGGTATTTTCTGTTGACCTCTTTTATAGGCCTTGTTATTATATGATGTTCTTGTGGACTTTTGGGGTAAATAAAAACCCTAGTTTATTTAAACCACTCCTGTGTCCTGTTGCCTTACTGTTGGTCCCTGACAATCCCACATGTAAAATAATGATTTTTGAAGAAGAATAAAGTGGTGGGACACTTCTAAATATTGGAATAAACTAAATATTAAACTGCAATAATGAAAGATGGAAAGCTAAAAAATGTTGATTATAAAATTAGATAATATTCTATTTACTCCAAATATTTACATGTATTTGTAATTTCAGTGTCAACTGTAACGTCACTAAGGATTTCCTCATGGATATTGTGATACTTGTACATGTATACTTCTGTAGCATATTTATGTAACTGTGAAAATAATCTCTTGAGTGTGTTCTCACATGCTGCGTACAGTACTTTGGATTCAAGCCAGATGTTTAGTTCTTGAGGAACATTGTGTTTTGTTTGCGTTAATGCCGCTTGTTTATATATATTATAAAGCATGATAAAAATACTTTTCAAATGAGACACAAACGATGATTTACTGACGTCTTTTTGCCATAACTTGTAAATATACATTAAAAGATGGTGTCAAATAAACAAAAGCACTGCTGATTGTGATGGTGAAACAACAACGTAGTATTTCTTTATTAGGATAAAAGGGTTCGCAGCACATTGGGGGGAAACATGTTGGACAAAAACAATTGTGTGTGACTGTGTGGTGATGGTGAGGTCTGACATCCAGAGGGGTCGGGTCATCCATCACACAGTTTACTCTACCTCTTCTCTATTAACTTTAACCTCTTCCACAAGTTCTCAACGTGTGTGTGCGTGTGCGTGTGTGTGTGTGTGTGTGTGTGTGTGTGTGTGTGTGTGTGTGTGTGTGTGTGTGTGTGTGTGTGTGTGTGTGTGTGTGTGTGTTTGTGTGTGTGTGTGTGTGTGTTGTGGAAAGTGTTGCCGGGATACAGGCAAGGAGAGAGTGCAGACATAAACACAGGAGAGGCTACATGTTAAGTTTTTGGTGATGTGGTTCACCCACTGTTCTCCGTTTTGCTTTCGGTAGCTGCAACAGGTCACATTCAATGACTCATCTCACACGTGCACACACACGTACACACACATACCCACGCGCACACACACACACATGGCACAAGGTCATGAGTACAGTTTTAAGGTACTTTTATTCACTTGAGTATTTCAATTTTTGTCTTTGATTATACTCAAACACCACCACACTCCACTTTTTACTAATACATTTATCTGACCTCTTTAATTAATTGGGGATTCAGATATATCATTGAACAAGAAATATAAATCAACTAATAAATGATTATGTATTACTATAGATTACGCTGCCCAAAAGTATATATATATAAATATAACACATTATTGTCTCAATAATAAAAATTCAATAATGTCATTTATATTCTGAAATGGGCCAGTCTGCATAATGAGTATATTTTGATGCAAATATTTTTGTGAGATTTCTAATACAAAAGCTGTAACGGTGTATTTCCACACTGTGGTCATGCTACTTTTACTTTGACCTCCCCCACTGCACATTAAAACTCTCACATGTGGTTTTGAGAGGGATTTTTTTGTTGTGGCCTTTTTGTGCTGCATAAAAGCCCAATTACTCCTTTCAGCACTGTGGCCCGTCGCCCACTGTCACAAGAGATGACTCAGAGTCGCTCTGTGCAGCACCAAGGCCTCAATTGCCCAGTGACAGACTGGCATTGATGTGGGGGGGGGGGGGGGGGGATTTTCCAAATTCACTACAGCATCTCTGTATAGCATGTGCATTCACTCTCTTCGCTGCTGAGAGAGTGTGCGTGTGTGTGTGTGTGTATGTGTGCGTGCGTGTGTGTGTGTGTGTGTGTGTGTGTGTGTGTGTGTGTGTGTGTGTGTGTGTGTGTGTGTGTGTGTGTGTGTGTGTGTGTGTGTGTGAGGAGCTCCATGGATTGGTCCATTTGGACAAATGGGTCCATTTGGGTATGGGCACGTCACTGTACCCAGGAAGAAAACAATGGAAAAAGAGAAATCTCCAACGAGGCGTTCTGAGGCAGCATAGACAGGTATTTTCGGTGTTAGAGTTTTACTCTCTACATGGTGTACTTTGAGGGTTTGTGACTCTGCAGACCGTTTACATGCATAAAAACCTTCATAACATACAAGGGGACGGGTAATAACCGGAAAAGCATGACATGGGACCTTTAAAGGTATAGGGGTAGTTAAGAATGGAGAAACCAGCTCGAGTGCACTAGAATTTGAAAGTACACAACCGGAAAAAATCTGCCCCTTCCTTCAGACTTCCTTACAGAGCCCCTCCTCCAACACACACGGAGCCCCCTAATGGACATGGAGAAGAAAACAAAATGTATTTGAACAAAAGAAAAAAAAAATGTTTTGCGAAATATCGCAAAACCCCGTTGCAGTTTGTAGACGATCCCTAAGCACTCCTCTCCCTCCTCAAGCTGCGGATTGTGACCAATTATTGATGTTTAGCTCGGATGACGGCGCGTATCGAACTGTTCTGATAAAAACGACTCTGTAGCTCGTTGTCTATCTTGCAATGATTGTAAAGTCATGTTGTTTGTATTTTTACAACGTTATGTTCATGAGTTATTGATCCGCGAAATTCGAATCTGTCAATAACTCAGCTCAGAGGGACGTGCATGTCCCCTCGCTCTGAGTGTTCTCTTGTTTCACTTATGTGAAACCCT